ATAAAATAAAAATTAAATGCTCTCTTTTGTCAATACAATCAATATTTCCACGGCTGAGCGTGGCTGCTCGTGTCAACAAAAGTGGCTCAAAAAAGAAGCTTTAGCAAAGCAAAGAATTCTCAATCATCAGCAATTAAAAGAAAAGAATCGCATACCCACAAACTCTCTCTTTTTTTAAACACAAAAAGGCCAAATAGAACCCAAAAAAAAAAAAAAAAAAAACTCTCATTAAATTCTCCACTTAATTTTGACAATTTCTCTTCTTCTTTGAACCTGTTTAAATTTGTCAAGTGAAGCTCAATAATATATTGATGGCTAATGTATGTTTCTCAAGTTTGATTGATTTATTTATTTATTTATTTATTTATTTTTTTCTGTGTTTCTCATCAATCACATGTTCTTAAATATGGATTATGATGGATTGATTGATAATTTCAGGTGGTCGAGTTGAAGGTCGGATTGCACTGCGACGAATGCATCAAGAAAATCTTGAAGGCTATCAAGAAAATTGAAGGTAATCAATAATATTCTAAAAAAAAAATGCTTATAATTTCTCTAATTAACTATCTAATGTAATTTTGCAGATATTGAAACATATAATGTGGACACACAATCAAATAAGGTTACTGTGACTGGGAATGTTACAACTGAAGAAGTTATTAGAGCCCTTCACAAGATTGGAAAACAAGCCACCACTTGGGATGAACACTCTGCAAATACCAATTATCACTGAAAAAAATAAAATAATGTGTGCAATTATCATATTGCTTATTAGCTGCTTAATTAATTAAATAATTTTGTGTTTGATCTTTACATTAAGCACCCTGTAAAAACCTTTTTTTTTTTTTCCAGAACTTCTTATGAGGGAAAGCATGCATCTGTTTGTATTGCTTGCAAAAAGATAGTCCGTCCTAATTTCATGTGCGAGCTTTCATAAGCTTAAACGAGTTGAGCCTTTTGCTCGTTTATTAAACAAAACCGAGCTTTGAATATGAAGTGCTCGGCTCGTTAAGCTAATTTTTGCGGTCCGATGGCATTACTTCAGTCGAGATCCAAATCCTCATTCCCATAATCTTCTCCTAAATTTAACTAAAAAACATCCTTAATTTTTGTTTTAAAAAATAAAATAAAATGGCTTGTACTAGTATTAGTCACTTGAGAGTTCTTAAGTGAACCGAGCAACTCATCAATCCATTAAGGCTCGAACTCAGCTCATTTAGATCGAACTCGTTTAAAGCTCAGATAGTTAACACGTCAAGCCAAGCAAAAACCTTGCTCGTTATGGCTAAAAAATATAAAATCTTTGTGTAATTTTCTACATCTCCACGTGATAAGGCTCGAGATTGGCTCATTAATATTGATAAATGAGCTCGAATTCACAAGCGAAACTCAATTTGGCTCACTAAAGCCTTAAATTCAAGTTCAACAAGCGAACATCTGGCTCAATAAAGCCTTAAATTCAAGTTCAAGTATCGGGAATTCGAACTCGCCTAGAGTCGTTTAGATCTCGAGGCACTTCATCGTAGGTTTTGTGTTAAGCTCCAAAACAATCCATAGGTAAATATGATAAGGAATTTAAGCATAATGTTTTTTCTTATGGAAGAAAAAAAAGGTGCGTTTGTTTCTAAAAATGGCGACTTTATTACACCATTATCCACATAAAAGCGCGCATACACTGATAAAACGAGTACACAATGGAAGTTTGAAGCTGAAATTAACAAAATTAACAAAAAAAAAAATGTACAAAACAGAAGCTCCTGAACACACTCAACTCACTCACTGGGTCGAAAACCCGTCCCGCTCTAACGCGGCTGCTGAATCGGCCTCGGGCTGACCCTCGCACTCACGAACTTCGGCGCTTTCTCACAGTACCTCGGCGCCGCCTCCGCCCCTCCGCGCGGACGCCGCCACTTCAACCACCCCAGCGCCACCAGATCTGCGCCGCCTCCCCGCTCTGTAACAAAAGGAGAAGAACAAAATGAGATCGAGATTCGAGAACCGAGTCGACTCGGCGACCAGGATGAAAAAACGGTGAATCGAAGCCGAATCGATTGCGATGATTTACCTTTCGACGCGGCGTCTCCGGCCGATTCGACGCCGTCCTGGGCGTCGCCGGCGCCGGCGACATCGGAGAAAGGCGGGGCGATTTGGGGATCTGAGAAGCACTCGTGGAGCCAGTAGTCGCGGAACCAGGGTGAGGACTGGACGAGGTCCCACCACTGGTCAGAGAAATCCTCCACTGCGCGGTACGCCGTCGGCACGAATATCGGCGCGTTTGGGTTGAGCGCTGACGTGGCCATCTTCTTCTTCTTCTTCTTCTACTTTCCTGATAATGAGATTATAGTATGGAGTCTGTGAACTGAGCGAGCTACTATAGATTTATAAAAGAGGTTTAGATGAGATCTAGTCACGTGAGTCATACTTTGATTTGATGACCCAAACTTATGTTAACGATTTCGACGTTACGAAACCATTTTGTTACTCTTAAACGCAATGGAACCGTAGCATTTTCCTATGTTAACATATACAATTGGGTGTTGCTATAATATATTACGGGACAAAATAACCATAAGCTCTAGATGATTAACATAACACAATTTTTAAATATCATGATTTTTTTTTTTTAATATGTGAGTGATATGTGCATCTTAATACGCCCAATGGTGAATAAGTGAGCGTTTTTTTATATTATATTATGCATATAATTATGGTAACACAAGTTTCCGTTTCATTTATCATTTTGTATAACACAAAAATATTTAACCGTTGTCGAGTTTAGCTTGTTGATTAGACGAGCTGCACACTAAATTCGACTTCCCCTTGTTTTTCAAAATTAAAATCAACCTAGAGTTTTAAATAGTTTGAGTCTCCATTAGAGAAGAATTGATCACAAAAGTGTCTTCAATATTTGAGCTCGGTCCATTAACTAAACGAATAAACGATTGAATTAGAGGAAAATGTTAAGTCTCGCTACGGAATCATTCCATTGGAGTTTGTAACCGTTAGATCATCATTAACCGTCAAAGATAGTTGATCTAACGATTACAAACCCCGACGGAATGGTTTCGTAACAGAACCGTAACATCTTCCTAAATTAGAATCGGCACATATACCAAACGAAACAAGCCAAACAAAAATTTTAAAAGGAATTGATGTTAGTTTCAAAACGAACTTTTTGACCAACACGATTGTTTAACATTTTGGAAAAGAATATCTTTGAGGGATAATGTTCTGTTGAGGGGGGTGTGTTGATATTTTGGTTTGTTTGTTAGTTTAGTTAGTTATATCACTTAGTCCATATTTTCATATTTTTCCTTTTTCCTTTTCAGTCCCTTTTTAATTCCTTTTTACGCTTTCTGTAAAACGTGCAAGTATATAAGCGTGTCTTCTTTTGTTTTGACCGTTGTAATTACGCATTAATCGAAAATGGAGCTTTTCTCCCCAAATCAGTATTTTACTTTTTCCTGCACTTTGTTCATGGTATCAGAGCCATTGATCTGTGATTAAAGATCCGATTGGAGTTTTCATGGCGCAACACCGGAACAACGTGACCGGCGGCGAGATCGTTCTATCGCACAATGATCCGTTACATCTGCAGACTTCCGACCATCCTGGATTGCACATTGTTTCGATCCAGCTGAACGACAAAAATTTCCTTCCATGGAAGCGAGCGGTTCTCATCGCTCTAGGAGCTAAGAATAAGCTCGATTTCATTACTGGTTAGCTTACTGCTCCTTTGGAATCAGATGAGGATTTTATTATCTGGAAAAAGGTGGACTATATGGTGACGTCCTGGTTATTGAATGGAATGTCTCCTGAGATTGTCGAAGGTTTTCTGTATGCGGATTCTGCTTTTCAACTTTGGGAAACTATAAATCATCGTTTTGGTGAATCAAATGCACCGTTGTTGGTTAGTTTACAGAAAGAAATTGCAAATATAAAACAAGGATCGTCCTCTGTGGTGTTGTATTTCACTAAGCTGAACAGGCTGTGGGATGAGTGTGCTACTTTGGCACCTTTACCACTTTGTGGCTGTGCTAAATCCAAAGAGATAGTGGATATGGACTCCAGGAACAGATTGATGCAATTTCTCATGGGATTAAATGAGACATATGATGCCATCAGTAGTCAGATTCTCCTTATGGAGCAGTTACCAAATGTGAACAAGGCATACTCGCTTGTTTTGCAAGAAGAGAGAAAGAGAAGTGTGCATATTATGTATCCTGATAGTGTTGAAACAACTGCCCTGGTGTCTAATCAGAACAAGGTTTACAACAATAGAGGAAAGGGAAACCCAGCCAGAGGAAGAGGTCAAGTCTGGACTGCAGGAAGAGGAAGAGGTTTTATACCTAGAAAGTCTAAGGAGGAGAGAGCACAACTCACTTGTGAGCATTGTGGTTATAGTGGCCATGAGCAGAAAGAATGCTTTAAGCTCCATGGCTATCCAGAATGGTACAAGGATTACAAAGAAAAATCTGGAAAAGCCTATGCTAATCAAGCAGATGCAGGTTCTGGTTATTCTGGTGCTCAGGGGATTGATATGGCAAGCTTAGCACAGGAGCTTATGAAGTTTATGGGAGACAAACAAAGGACAGATACAGTAAACATATCTGAGGGGGTCAACTTTGCAGGTAATATTGCTAGTCATGTTCCTCACTTTGCATTATCTATGTTTGAAGATTTGGGGGAAGGTTCTTGGATTTTGGATACAGAAGCTAGCAAACATATGTGTGCTAGTAAATCCCAACTTCATGACCTTGTTATTCTACCCAAATCAATTGCAGTATATCTTCCTGATGGAACTTTAAAGCAAGTGACACACAAGGGAAAAGCCTTTATAAACAGCCATATTGTCCTTACAGATGTTCTATACATTCCATCCTTTAATCTACTCTCCATTTCACAACTTTCTCATGATTCTGATATTCAGTGTATTTTTACCCCTACCAAATGCTTGTTGCAGGGCCTTGAGGATTGCAAAGTGCTTGCAGAGGGAAGGATGATAGACAAACTTTACATCTTGAGCACCAATTCAGCCTCTTTGTTTTTTGCTAATAACTCTTGTTCAGTTGTTAGTAAAAAAAAATTAAATTAAATTGTAAATTGGCATATTCTGCTTGGCCATGCTTCAATTAGTTCAATGAAACATTTACATTTCTTGAGACCTTATTTTTCAGATCATAATGACACTATTTTGAAATCCTGTGAGACTTGTGCTAGAGCTAAGCAACATAGGGATCCTTTTTCAGTTTCTGACATGAAAAGTGATTATGTGTTTGATTTGGTGCATATAGATCTTTGGGGGCCATGTACTGATGAGAATGTGAAGGGAATTAGGTATGCCTTAACTATAGTTGATGATTGTAGCAGGGCTACCTAGTTGTACCTCTTGATGCACAAGACACAAGTACCTCATACCCTTCTTTCCTTTATAAAGCTCATTCAAAACCAACACAATAAAACGATTAAAACTTTCAGGAGTGATAATGGAACAGAATTTGTCAGTAAAGAGTGTCAAAACATTTTTCATTCCTTTGGAATTGTTCATCAAAGGACCTGTGTCTATACCCCCCAACAAAATGGCATTGTTGAGAGAAAACACAGACACCTTCTTGAAACAGCCAGATCCCTTATGTTTCATTCCAAAATTCCCATGTTTTTATGGCCTGAATCCTTGTTAACAACCACATACATATTGAATAGATTGCCAAATTCCACCCTACTCTGGAAAACACCTTATGAAGTTTTACATGGACAACCACCTGACTATAGTCTCTTGAAACCCTTTGGATGCCTGGTTTTTGCAGCTAACACAAATCCACACAAAACTAAATTCACTACCAGATCACACAAGTGCATATACCTTGGGTTTGAACCAAGCAGAAAAGGCTATAAACTGTTTAACATGGATACTGGGAGAATCATAGTTAGCAGGGATGTCAAATTTTCAGAACATGTTTTTCCATATCATGATCAGCCAATTGGCACACCATTGTCTGTTCCAACACCTTTCATTTCAGCTACTGAGGATTTTTCTGACACTACTTTATCTTCTAATGCCCCATTAGACATAAATACTCAAGTTCTTCCTCCAGTTTCAGAACCACCTGCTACTAGACCTCACAGAACCAGATCAAAGCCCTCTTGGTTGAATGACTATGTCACATTCTGTGCTGAAACTCATCCTCCTTCTGTAAACATGAAGCAATCTGCAGAGGTGTCCACATCAGGTAATGCTCCCTTTGCCTCTTTACCCTTTACACATGACTGTTGTTTCCACACTGCTTATCTTGAGTTTTTATCCAATGTATCCATGGACCAAGAACCATCTAATTATTTTCATGCAAAAGATAACATAGCGTGGGTCAAGGCTATGCAACAGGAGCTAGATGCCCTTGAGAAAAATGACACTTGGACCTGGTTGACTTACTTGTTGGAAAGAGGCCAATTGGAAATAAGTGGGTTTTTAAAATTAAAAGGAAACCAGATGGCACAGTGGATAGATATAAGGCTAGGCTGGTGGCAAAAGGATATACTCAGGTGTATGGAATTGATTATGATGATTGTTTTTCCCCAGTTGCTAAATAGGTGACAGTCAGATTGTTCTTTGCTATAAGTTCTGCAAAGGGATGGCCCTTATGTCAGATAGACATAAACAATGCCTTCTTACATGGAGGGCTGAAGGAAGAAATTTATATGGATTGCCCACAAGGCTACCATCCTCAGAATCCCGGGCAAGTCTGTAGACTCAAAAAGAGTTTGTATGGTCTTAAACAAGCCTCTAGAGAGTGGAACCAAAAGTTTTGTGATAAATTGCTGTTGTATGGCTTCTTACAGTCCCAACATGATCATTGCTTATTCACTAAGTCTGCAGATTCTGATTTTTTGGCTCCTTTAGTATATGTGGATGATGTTCTTATTATGGGGCCAAATGTGCACTTAATAGACAAGCTGAAGAACTATTTGGATAAGGAGTTCTCTATAAAGGACCTGGGGTTTGCCAAATTTTTCTTAGGCATTGAAATAGCCAGGGGTGATAATGGGACTTTTCTCAGCCAAAGGAAATATGTAGTGGATTTACTGCATGACATGAAGATGGATAAAGGCAGAACAACAGCTACACCACTACCTCATGGTTTGGTTTTGAAAGGAAAAGAAGGCACTCCTTTAGGCACATGGGGATGTTTACAGGAGACTTGTGGGAAGGCTGTTGTATCTCAACCTTACCAGACCTGATATTGCCTACTCAGTCCAACAGCTTAGTCAATATGTCAATGACCCTTATACTTCTCATTGGGAT